GGGTAGCGGGGGCAACCGAGGTGGCCTTCCTAGAGGGGAGGGAGCTGCGAGGGGTGGGAGCACGTAGACCCGTGGGGCAGGCCACACCCACCAGGCCACAGATGTCTGTCCCTCCTGCTCCCCAGCCTGTTGTCACAGTGGCCTTTTATTCTCAGGGTCTGCACCTGTGGCCTTTCCTGTCGGGGACCCAGCTTGAGCAATGTCCTGTGGCCAGACCATTGGCAAGTTCCCTGCCATCCTTCTACCTGTGAGGCTGCCGCTCAATTTCTATATCCACCTACCCTGTGTATCAAGATGGTGAGCACGATAAATATGTGCCAATAAATGAATATGTAATGAAAGTATTCTGGCTAAAGAGGAGCTCTGAGCCCTTCAAAACAAAGCAGCAAACAGCTTGATTTAAAAAAGAGCAAAGAGGGGCACCTGGGTGGCTCAGCTGGCTGAGCGGCTGACTTCCTCTCAGGTCATGATCTCATGGTTTGTGAGTTCGAGCCCCACACCGGGCTCTGTGCTGACAGCTCAGAGCCTGGAGCCTGCTTCAGATTCTGTGTCTCCCTCTCTCTCTGTCCCTCCCCCACTCACACTCTGTCTCTCTCAAAAATAAACATTAAAAAAATATTTTTTTAATGAACAAAGAAAGAGATTCTTCTCCAAAGAAAATACACAAAAGACTACTAAGCGCAAGAAGAGATACTCACATGGCTCTTCATTAGGGAAATGCAAATCAGAGCCACAGTGAGATACCACTAAATACTCACTAGGATGGCTGTAATCAAAAAGACAGACAGGGACGCCTGGGTGGCTTAGTCAATTGGACATCCAGCTTCGCATGATCTCGCGACTAGTGAGTTCGAGCCCTCATTGGGCTCTGTGCTGACAGCTTGGAGCCTGCTTTGATTCTGTGTCTCCCTCTTTCTCTGCCCGTCTCCCGCTCGTGCTCTATCTCTCAAAAATAAATAAAACTTTTTTAAAAAATAATAAAAAAATTTAAAAAAGAATAGGCTGTTGGTTCACTCAGCAACTTGGAGGACTCTGGAAGCAATTGTGCTAACTGAGAAAAGCCAATCTCAAATAAATGGAATTTCTTTTTTTTTTTTTTCAAAATTTACCACCATAACCATTTTTTAATGCTTATTTATTTTGAGAGAGTGTGTGTGAGCAGGAGAGGGGCAGAGAGAGAGGGAGAGAGAAAATCCCAAGCCTGCTTCCTGCCATCAACATAGAGCCTAATGTGATGTGGGGCTTGATGCCACAACCCTGGGATCATGACCTGAGCCAAAAATCAAGAGTCGCTTAACCAAGTGAGCCACCTAGGTGCCTCTGCACAGAATTTCTTTGTAAAAAATCTTCCACTGGGCCACCTGGGCAGAGCAACCAGTGGGGCATCCTGCTTCAGATCCTCTCTCTCTCTCTCGCTCTCTCGCTCTCTCTCTCTTCCCCCTCCCCCACTTGTGCTCTCTCTCTCGCTTGCTCTCTCTCTCTCTCTCTCTCAAAAATAAATAAACATGGGGCGCCTGGGTGGCTCAGTCAGTTGAGCGTCCGACTTCGGCTCAGGTCATGATCTCACGGTTCGTGGGTTCGAGTCCCGTGTCGGGCTCTGTGCTAACAGCTCACAGTGGAGCCTGCTTCGGATTCTGTGTCTCCCTCTCTCTGCCCCTCCCCTGCTCATGCTCTGTTTCTCTTTCTCAAAAATAAACATTATTTTTAAAAGATTAGATAAAAAAAGTAGAGACTCTGCAATTTCTCTGCTTACTGAGGTCATATATACTCATTATAAAGCTCCCAGAAAAACGTAATGTAGGCAGTGAAACTCAGTTCATTCCTTATGTATGGGTTTCTTTTTTTTTTTTAAATAATGGTTTTGTTGAAAGATAGTTGTATAATATATTCAATATAACACAATTCACCCACTTCAGGTGCTCCTTGAGTGGCGTTTGATGCATTCACAGTGGTGCATCCCTCACCCCGTAAGTCTGAGAGAACATTTTATCATTTCCAAAAACAAGCCCCCCGTGTTGCACAATGTGAATGTACTTAATGCTACTGAACTATACCCCTAAAATAGTTTTTAAAAAATTGTATGCTTTTTGTAGCTCAACACTGTTTTAAAAAATGAAAACCATACTGTTAATATCATCTCCCTACGTCTCCATTCCCCAAGCCCTAAGCAGCCACTGACCCACTTTTGTCTCTATAAATTTGGTCCACTCTCAATTCCAGCCCTGGATGTCCCTTTCAGAGCCCTCCTGTGTCTGTGTGCCCAGCATGGTGTCGAGCGCAGTGCAGGTGATGGGCTCTCAGGGGGTCCTCAGTCTCACGATCTCACATCACAATGTGGGCATCCGTGCGGCGTTTCCATGACGGGAAAATGTGTGGTTTGCATGGTACCTCCCATGTGCAGCTTCCCAGGAGAGGGGTCGGAACTCATGGGAAAGGTTCAAGGCCAGAAGGTGGACCTAGAGCTGAACCCTGAAGGCAGTGAAGGGCAAAGATGGCAAACCATGAGAGATTTTTAAATACAGAGAACAAACTGAGGGTGGAAGGGAGTGGAGGGGCGGGGGATGGGCGGGGAAAATGGGTGACGGGCATTGAGGAGGGCACTTGTCGGGATGAGCACTGGGTGTTTTATGTAAGGGATGAATCATGGGAACCTAATCCTGAAGCCAAGAGCACACTCTATACACTGTATGTTAGCTACCTTGACAATAAATTATTAAAAAAAAAAAAAAAGATGGATTCTCATGCATGGAGAAAGAGCACGAGCAAAGGCCCGGTGGTAGAAATATGGACTGGGTTGATGGACAAAGTGAGGAAAATGGGCCCCCAAGGCACAAATTTTCTTTTGAGGAGCCATGCAAAATAATGCCAAGCAGAGCCACAGAAACCCTTCCACCTCCAGCCCTAGCTCACACCATGACTGGCTTACTGGTTTAAAGTGACTGTTTAGTATTAGTAATCCTGTATCGTCCGTTCTAGCAGCTTCCGGGAATGAGCTTTGCTCATGAGTGGTTACATTAAGTGTCCTCAGACTGCTGTGCTACCTGTTGGCCTAAAACAACACAAAGTTATTCTCTCGCGGTTCTGGAGGCCAGAAATCAACCAGCAGCGGCGTGGGTTGTTTCTGCAGATCAGGGAGAACTTTTTCCATGTGTCTCTTCTAGCTTCAGACGTGTCCCCGTGTCCCCACGGCCAGGGAAACTACCTGTTGAGCACGCCCACCGGCTGTGCTAGGCCAGGCTTACTCACACCCCCTCCCCCCGAGGGATTCTCAAGGACGGCTTTACCTCCCCCACTTTACAGACAGAGCTCTCCCTACCTCTTGAGGCTTCAGGATGTCTTTTTTGGCCCCAGGCTCCCTTGGCCATCTGTCACTTCTTGGGACTGTCCGTGATGCCCCAAATACCAGCACTAGATGGCGCTGTGGCCTGCCCCTCCGCTATTAATTCACAAAGGGTGGCAATTCCGGGGACCGATGTTTCTTACTTAAGTCATTTGTATGCACCTTCCAAGTATCACTGGTACTTTAATCTACTTAGTGTTTTTCTTGGGGCGCCTGGGTGGCCCAGTCAGTTGGACTCGGATCATGGTCTCATGGCTTGTGAGTTCGAGCCCCACGTCGGGCTCTGTGCTGACAGCTCAGAGCCCAAAGCCTGCTTTGTATTTTGTGTCTCTGTCTCTCTCTGTCTCTGTTTCTCTCTCTCTCTCTGTGTCTCTCTCTCTCTCTTTCAAAAATAAACATTTTAAAAAATGTACTTAGCATCTTTCTTTAAACTCCCTTTTAAAGTGCCAATGGGAAACCATTCTTTCTTGGTTGTAAATAGAAAATGAGTGTAAACTTCTTTTTAAAAACCCTGTTAACTGTTTAGAACGGTGTCTAGCACATTGAAAGAAAGCAAATAGACAAATAAAGCAATTGGAACAAAACAAGTTGGCTCGTGTGTGCCCATCCCGCAGAGCGCAATGCAGTGAAATGCTGCTGTCCGAGGCTTTGGAAACAGAACAGCCTCCTGTCACCTAGATGCACGAGTGTCTACGGTTGGAAGGGCTCCTTCCTTGTGCAGGTGGTGGCTCTGACCCCTAGTTGGAGCCAGGCCTGGGACCACACGGATGGGAGAAGAACCTTAGGGAATTGGAACTGAAGTGTGACCCTCTGTTTCTTGGTGCCTCTGATGCCTAAGAAAGCTCACTTGAGGGGGGTCCCCAACACAGGGAGCATCACCTATTGGGCACAGGGAGCCCTGGGATGACAGGTAGGAGCCACAAGCTTTCATGACAGCCAGGCAGTGGACTTCGACCAAATCGCTTAGCTTCTCTGGGCCCCTTGTCCTAAGGGTCCGAAGCAGGGGGTGGGGTTGCCATATTCCCCTTTGGCAGGCGCACCCCCACTGGCCTTCAGGCACCTCCAGCACCCTGCCCCTCTGAGGAACCACATCCCCCCTGGGATGGCATCTTGGCCAAATGATTTGCTTCCTCTTTGTTGTCAGGGCTGGAAAATAGCGGGGTCACCCTCTCTCTCACATTACCCATCTAGCCAAACCAGGTAAGGCTCAGACAGGCCGCAGGGTTCTTGGGTGAAAGGCCAGTGGCCCTGGTCCAGCCCTTCTGGACCTTCCAGAGGCCCAGATAGATCTGGGCAACCTGCCCCCTGCTGGGCCCTCACAATTCCTTGTCAGGTTCACATGACCCTGATCAATTAAATGTTTAGTTCTGCCTTTACGATCTAGAGCCGTCTGTGTCATTTTGCTCCAAATGGTGACTGTATATTAAAGATACCAGCCGCTGTAATAGCCCCCTGAACTCAATGGCTGGACACCGTAGACGTTCAGTCCCCACTTGCCTGTAGTCTGATTAGGAGCTGATGTGTAAGAGGCTGCAGGATGCCAGGCACTGTCGTTGGCATGGGGAACCCCGTGAAGGCAGCAGACAAGGCGCCCACCCTCAGAGAGCCTCCCTCCATCTGACAGGGACACTCATCCGAAGCCTTTGTTGTCTCTCCTCAGTACTGTACCTGGAAGGCTCGGTTCTTGTGTTTGAGGACATCTTCCGACTGATTGCATTCTACTGTGTCAGTAGGTGAGTACACCTGGCCCCACAGGAGGGCATCTGGTTGCAACCGACGTTGATGCGCCCTTGGGTGGGGGTGAAAGTCACAGGGGAGCCCCCAGAGGGAAAGGCGCAGCCCAGGGGATGCACAGAAAGGGGGCGGTCCCTGGCTTTGCCCCGGTACCCATGAGCGAGGTGTTAGCTCTGATGCTATCTTGGTCCAGCCGGTAAGGGCCCCTCCCTCATCCCCACCTGTCCCCTGGCTCACTGCCCCTCACCCCCACTTCCTGTGCGCCAGCGTCCAAGACGGCCTGGGGTCCCGTGAGGACCTGACCCGCCCTGTTGCGGGGGTTACAGATGGCACTTCCTGCGGGGACAACAGGAAGGGCTGATACCCCTCAGTGGGACAGAACCTGTGATCAGTAAGTCACTGCTGGGTGGGGTGAGTGACTCATCACCACCCTCAGAGCTGCTCTGTTTACTCAGAACGGGTTGTAGGCCAATAGGAACGTAAAAACATATTTTGGTGCCATGACGGCTTAAGTTCCGGGGCCTTGACCATGGCTGGACAGGATGCCTTGGGGTCCAGGGCCCCAGGCCCACTTCTCCATGCTTCAGAGACACCATCCTTGCTGCCTCCAGCGAAAACCGCGCTGAACCCAGAACATTCCCACCTCCCAGGACCCTCCTGGGCTGCGACGGGCAGAGAATGTGATGCTGGTAATAGCAGCAGCCAACGGCCGGCGCCTGAGTCTCTCAGGTGCCCAGCACCGCTCAGGGTTTTCATATCCATCGCCAGTTCCCTGAGGGGAGTTCCCATTTCACAGACCAGGAAGCTGAGGCTGAGAGAAGTAACTTGTTCAGGTTGCACAGGTGGCAAATGGCGGGATGGAGATTCAAAGTAGGTAAATCTCCAAGGTCCATGATCTTTGCTACAACCTACCCCCCCCCCCGCCCCACTGTGTACCTCTCACAGTAATTTCAGTGATCTAGCATGTTCTCTCCAAGGCAGAGCAGCAGGGGGCCCCTGGCCCTCCATACGTCATGACCTGCCGAGCTCTCGGAGAAGCAGCCCCTCTCCTGTTCAGAGAAGTTCTGGCCTTAGGAGAGGGTGCCCAGCATAGCGCCTGTTCTTGGAATGAATAAATGAACAGAGCCCAGAACGTGAGCTCGTTTCTTCATCTCTCTGGGAATGCCAACCTCCATTAGATGCCAGAGAGAGCGGATAAAGAAGCAGCGCACCGGCCAACAGCTAGTAGGCGCTCTGGTTCTGTCTCCGAGTGCTGGGGTAGTGACTGTGTGTCCAGAGCCATCTGGAGCCCCAGTCACCAGGCTCACGCTGTCACCTCCCAACCTTTCCACCTCTGGCTGCTGCTTGTCTGCATTCTAGAAAAGCAGGTTCCTATTGGTCCGCCCGCAACGGCCCAGGGAACCCAGGAGATCACAGGGCACAGAGCCCATAAGTCTTCGCGTCAACATACTGTGTTTGGTGTAGCGCCAGGGCCGTCTGTAAGGAGTGGGATGCTGTGGGAAGAAGAGCCCCAGACTAGGAGCTGGGGACCAGTTACCTAGCTGTCACCTGGCCTCTCCCAGCTGTGGATGCCTGCCTTTCAAGGGGATCATAGCCAAGATCCCATCTCTCAAGGGGATGGCAGCATGGCGCCAGAACTTTTATTTGGGAGCACGCGCTCCCCCCTCCCCATCTCCGTGCAGGAAGGACACGGGCTCTGCTTCAGAGTGCTCACCTAATGTTCCCGGCTGGCCGGTCGTCTGGTGTGAGGGCTCAAGTGAGGCTTCCCAGGCCTGCCTGGGCTTTGCAGTCACCCAGGAAGCTGGTTAAAAATACAGACTCCTGGGGGCGACTGTGTGGTTCAGTCAGTTAAGTGTCCGGCTTCAGCTCAGGTCACGATCTCATCGTTTGTGAGTTCGAGCCCCACGTCAGGCTCTGTGCTGACAGCTCAGAGCCTGGAGCCTGCTTCACATTCTGTGTCTCCCTCTCCCTCTGCCCCTCCACTGCTCGCTCACTCTCTCTCTCAAAACTAAACAGTGAAAAAAAAATTAAGAAACATAGACTCCAGGGGTCTATCTCAGAGACTCTGACCCAGCAGGGCTGGGCCGGGCACAGTCCTCACTTGGCGGGGGCTCTTCTAGGGAGAGGTGACGTTAAAGGACTTGTCCCCAAGGAAAGAGCAGCAGGGGGCCGGGGACCTGGACCGGGGGGGGGGGTTGAGGAGGGAGAGAAGCCCAGCAAAGGTGCGATTGCAGGGGCCGCCTCAGCCTCAGCAGGACCCCGAGGGCTGCTCTGGAACAGAAGAGAGACCTCAGGGCTTAAAGCCTTAAAGCCAACACGGCCAGGCTTTTGTACCCCCCACGCCACCAGGCCAACCCCCATGGCAGAGGCATTTGTGGCCCTCCGTCAGGCCACAGGGCCAACAGTGAGGCTCCAGCCTTCAGGACAAGCCTCTGAGGGTCACGGATGCCAGTCCCTAGGAGCAGACCCCGCGGAGGCTGGGCGATGGGCAGGCAGGGCTGGTAAGGGACATCCGGGGGTCCAGGTAGGGCGGCAGTGACTGTGCAAACTGCTACTGACCCGGCGTCTGTGTTGAGTCAAGCTGGTCTGTGCTCTGCCCACAGAGTTCTTTCTAACCCCACAGCGGGCTTGCGGGGAGGTGTTCCCGTCCGAGACCCCCTCAGAGGCTGCTGCCCCCTGCCCCCAAGTTGTGCTAAGAATCAGACACAAAGGTCCTTGTAAGGGGCCCGCCAGAGGGACTGGTGTGAAGCAAACCCACCAGAAGCCATCGCGTGTGTTCTCACCGCTGTGCCAGGCGAGGAGGCAGGCTGGGGGCGTCGCCTGCTTGGGTCGCACAGCTCGGTCCCAAGCCGATTTGAACCCGAGCTAGTCTGGACCCCTGAACCCCAGCTGCTCCTTCCCGGCACACGATACAGGGCCTAGGGCCTAGAGGATGCGTGGCTCCTCCCTGCAGTCCTCCCCTTCCAGGGGTGCGAGGGTCGAGGCCACAGGTGACACTGGAGACCCGGCAAGGAGGGGCAGGGAGAGAATTCTAGGTAGAGGACACTGTGGCGGGGGGGGGTGGGGGGGGGGAGACTGGCAGTGGGAAGCTCAGGAATGGCTGCGTGGGAAAGCCGGACACAGCGGTGGGGGATGAGACTGAAGGCCTTGAACGCCACCCCCAGGGGCTGTGGGGACACCCTTCCCTGGCCTCCAGGAGCCCCACTGCTGCTCCCGATCAGGCCACACTTCAGCAGACCTGCGCGGTAGCAGCAGGTGGTGGAATGGAGGCCAGTGAAGGGTGGAGGCCAGCCTAGGGCCACAGCAGCCATCCAGGCACTGTGGGGAGGCCCCTGCCCCAGCGCCGGCTGAAGGAACTGAGAGGGGTGGGGACAGCCACCGCAGAAAGGAGCCAGGGGACAGAGGAGCCGGGACAGTGCTGGGCAACAGGAGCATGAGCACACTGCGTCTTTTCCGGAGCACCTACTATGCGCCGGGCACCTGACTCAGCCCCTTACAAGGACCAGGAAGACACACCCTCAGCACAGCCAGGGGTCGGGAGCCACTGGCCTGGTGAAGTGGGTGCCATTAGCCAAAATGAAGGAAGGGTGGAGACCCTTGGGCCTGACCACACACTGTTGTGACTAAGCTGCCACCCTCCTTTCCCAGGGGAACGGGGTGCTAGGCTGGCCCTCTTTGCCTTTGAAGAAAGCTGTGTCTGGGGCCACCTTCCCAGCTCCCTGGGTCAGGAGCCAAGGTCTTACCTGGGGGTGTCCTGGGGAGCGGGACAGAGGGAAAGAGCCGGACCACCCTGGGAAGCGCCCATGACCTGTGCTCTCAGGAGGAGGAATGAAACACACGAGCACCCCACTGGGTGGCTCAGTCAGTTAAGCGTCTGATTCTTGATTTCAGCTCAGGTCATGGACTTGTGGTTCCTGAAATCGTCAAGCTCTGTGTCGGGCTCTGTGCTGACAGTGCAGAGCCTACTTGGGGTTCTCTCTCTCTCTCTCTCTTTCTCTCTCACTCTCTCGCTCTCTTTCTCTTCCCCTCCTCGACTTGCACTCTGTCTCTCTCTCTCTCTCTCTCAAATAAATAAATAAACTTTTAAAAATTTTTAATAAAAAATTTACGAAAATAAAATCATGTTTTCCTGGGGGCGCCTGGGTGGCTTAGTCAGTTAAGCGTCCGACTTTCGCTTAGGTCATGATCTCGCGGTTCGTGGGTTCGAGCCCCGCGTCGGGCTCTGTGCTGACTGCCAGCTCAGAGCCTGGAGCCTGTTTCAGAGTCTGTGACTCCCTCTCTCTCTGACCCTCCCCTGCTCACGCTGTCTCTCTCTCTCTCCTAGAAATAAAATAAAAATATTTTTAAAAAATCATGTTTTCCCTCTACAGTGATGAACATTCAAAACCACAAAAGTCGCCCAAGGGCTCTTCGGGGATGGAGCTGGGGGTGCCGTGGGGGCGTTGAGGGGACTCCTACTGCTCCTACAGGCCAGGGTGTTCCACAGAAGTAAGCATTCCCAGGTCACCCCAAAGCTTTACAGGATCTAGGCAGGGCTGTCCAGCCCTCAGGGGAAGAGAAAATTAGCATCAACAAGACAGTACACTTGGTATGTGGTGATTTTCAATCCTGGGTGCCAGCCCGTTGTCATGGGAGTGTGGTATAACACACAAAATGTCTTTGGTTTGGTCTTTGTCCCCGTTTCCAACACAAGGCTCCTAAAACACTCGGGATGTCCTGAGTGATAGGGTGTCTTTTGTTAGTCATCATGAGCCTCTTTCAGTGATACCTGAGTTTGTGCCCAGAGCTGACAGAGGCAGGACCCTCCAGGGAGCCTCAGGATGGGCTGGTCACCAGGAAGACCCAGTGTCTAGAGGGCTGGGACTTGCAGCCCCACCCACCCGCCTCCCACTCGCTGAACACATTGAGGTGCCGGGAGGGTGGCGCGCCCAGAGAGGCATCCAAGCTCGGCGTCCCTTCCCCAGACCTTACCTCTGCCAGGCACCTCTTCGGGCTGTTCCTGAGTTGTGTCCTTTACAATAAACTGGCAAATGGAAGGGAAGTGTTTCCCTGAGTTCTGTGCACCTTTCTGGCAAACAATCCAACCTGAGGAGGGTGCTGTGCGAACCTGCAAATTATAGCCAGTCAGTCGGGGAAGCATGGGCGGCCTGGGACTTGCAATAGGCTTCTGGAGGTGGGGCGGAGTCCCTAACCTGTGGGGCCTGCGCTAATTCTAAGTTGTTAGCCCCAGAATAGGATTAACTCCTGGGACCCCCGCTGGTGTGTGAAAAATTGTAAAATTGGTGGTTAGTGTTAAAAAAAAAAAACACCCTGGAGGGGGTCATAAAATCAGTCTAGTGGACCAGTACCGCTCTCCTTTTAAAGGAAAATTGAGACGAGACTGGAAAATATCAGAATGTGTCTCACATAAGTTGGAAGAAGTCCTGTTTTGCTAAGCCCTAGCTTTAGTTATGTATGAATGTGTGTGAGTGTGTGTGAGAGAGAGAGCATGTGTATGTGAGTGTATGCTGCGTCGTGATGCCAAGTGTGTTTCTTACTGGCAATCAAGGTCAAAACGTTCGAAAAACACAGACTAGAATAGAGACCTTTCAGGAAGGGGCATCTCCTACCCTGGGAGGTCCACAAGCTGACCCACCGGCACATGCCGGGGGGTGGGGGGTGGCGGGGAATGGTAGAACATTCATGCTTATTCCATTGGAACGTTATTCCATTTTTCAAATTTCTATTTTTGTGAATGCTTTTTAAGGGACTTAATAGTCCATCAGATAAGGAATATATATATTCTCATACACATGTACACGTACAGACAACTGGAGAGGTGCTTTATTTTTATTTGTTTTGATAGCTTTTGTTTTGGGGGCTCTGATTCCCATCCCAGGCTGTATCCATCAGGATCCCCTTGAGAACTGGTGAAAAATGTGGACATTTGGGACACCTGGGTGGCTCAGTCATTTAAGCGTCTGACTCTTGACTTTGGCTCGGGTCATGATCTCACAGTTAGTGGGATCGAGCCTGCATTGGGCTCTGTGCTGACAGCACAGAGCCTGCTTGGGATTCTCTCTGTCCCTCTCTCTCTGCCCCTCCCCTGCTCACTCACCTGCGCATACTCTCTCTCTCTTATCCATGTATATGTATATGGATTCCAAGCTCACCCCCAGACCTGACCCTGGGAACCCATGCACATAGATCTGGGGATCTGCATTTTTAGCAGCTCTCTCATGGGATTCTGACCCAGAGTTAATACAAAGGTATTAATACCTACCCATATGCTGTGATAGAGTTATCATCATCATCATCATCATCATCATCATCATCATATCATGTAACACAAGGCGTGCAAAACCCAGCTCAGTGCCTGACACATAATAGTCACCCAACAAACACTCTACCTGTGGGTGCTTTGCCTTGGATCAGAAGACACAGCCCCTGGCTGAAGTGTTGAATTGGATGATGTGTCAGGGAGCAGGGACAGATGAAGTCCTGAGCAACAGTGGGTCATGGAGGAGGAGGGGGTCTGTGGTACAGCCTCACAGGATGTATAGAATCTAAGATGACGTAGTCAGGGGAGGAGGGTGCCCTCCCTCTATGCAAAGCTCAGAGGTGCGGAATAGCAAGGCACGCTCCCTATGGGAAAATGAGCGTGCCCTTTTGGGAGGCGGCCAGGAGGCCCCTGAGTGCAAGAGAGGGTCTACGGTGCAGAAATGAGGAGCTGGCGGGAGCGGCAGGGGCCAGGGCCGGGCCGGCGAAGACCATGGATGCAGGAGGCCCAGGCTGGCAGTGGTCTGCAGCCGCCACCGCAGCATCTTGAGCAGCACACAGAGAAAGGGGGTGAGGGGTGTAGGAGATTGTCCTGGTGGCCAGGGGTGGGCACCAGATGAGCTGAGTGACTCTGGGGGCCATTATGACATACATAGTGACCGAGGAGCCCCTGGAAACCCTGCTGGCAGGCCAGATGGCCAGCCAGGTAAACTGAGGCAACACAGAGATGAAGTGTGCTATCCTTCAAAGTTAGAGATTGGGGTAGTGGTGGCCTGAGGTGGGAATGAGTGCTGAGGGTGCAGCCTGGGTCTGGGTCTGGGCCTGGCCTTCCTGGAGGGACCGACTGGTAGCCTTCATGGGGAAAGTCTGACTGTGTGCTCACTGGGGGAGCCTGACTGTGTGCTCACCGGGGGAGCCTGACTGTGTGCTCACCGGGGGAGTCTGACTGTGTGCTCACCAGGGAAGTCTGACTGTGTGCTCACTGGGGATGTCTGACTGTGTGCTCACTGGGGGAGCCTGACTGTGTTCTCACTGCCCATCTCAGTGTGGACCCACACTGGTTAGCAGGCAGGAAGGGGCGGGTCACTACCCAGAATAGCACCAAAGCTTCCTGGGCTTCCCACAGGCCAGGAAATCCAGGGAGAAGCCATGACACCACTCCCTCCCCGCCGAGCACAATCTCCCATCCCTCCGGGTCCCTGGGTGCTGGCATGGGACTAGAGCTGACCGGCTGTTCCCTTGGCCACAAAGCTCAGCTCCTCGGCCCCCAGGGAAGTTTCCAGACTGCATGGAGAACCAGCAGCCATCAGGGTTGCTTCTTTTATGGGCTGTGGGGCCAGGGAATGGACACATGGGTCCCTCTCCCCGACGTGACCTCCGACCTTTCCTGTCTCCGCAGAGACTTACTGCCCTCCACGCTGAGGCTACCCCAAGCCATCCTTGAGGCCCACAGCTTCACAGACCTGGAGACCATCTCCAACCTGGGCCTGGGTAAGTCCTCTCTGTGCCTCAGGGCAGGTGTCAGGGCTTTGGAAATGGGGCCTCCAGGACTGCGGCCCACCTGTGCACAGGGGCGCCCTCACGCTGCAACCAAGCAGAGTGCTGACTCCCACCCCTCCCCCTGCCCGGGCTGCTGAACCCCGGAGCCTGGCGATGCCCCCCGTTCCCAAAGTGGCACCTTTTACATCTACCCAGAAGGTCTGACCCACAGCCTTGCTGGGTCTGGGGAAGCCGGGGCCAGTCAGGGCCAGCACAGGCTGACCCAGGATCAGGGCGTGGCCCTGGGAAAGGCCGAGCCAAACTCCCAGGCCCATGTCAGCTGACCAGGCCCGAGCACCAGCACGGCTGCACCCCTGGTGCCCTGTCCTCCCCCTTCGCCAGAAGGAAGGGCAGCACGAACATGACTGTGAACTGAATGCGGAATGGGTAACGGGCTGGCAACTCACACAGGCCCAGTGACCTCTCCTCTGAGGTCTAAAGCGGCATGATGACACGTTTCAGTGCTCCGTACTCGCCTGATACTGTCCTGTGTAACCCTTGTGTCCCCATTTCAAAGATACAACATCAGGGCGCCTGGGTGGCTCAGTCATTTAAGCATCTGACTCTTGATCTCGGCTCAGGTCACGACTTCACGGTTGAGTCCAAGCCCCACGTCTGGGCGTGGGGCCTGTTGGGATTCTCTCTCCATCTGCCCTTCGCCCACTCATACGTGCATGCATGCTCTCTCCTGGTTTCTCTCTCAAAATAAACAAATAAACTTTAAAAAAAAAAAAAGATACAGAGGCGCCTGGGTGGCTCAGTCGGTTAAGCGTCTGACTTTTACTCAGGTCATGGTCTCGCAGTTCACGAGTTTGAGCCCCACATCAGGCTCTGCTGACAGCTCAGAGCCTGGAGCCTGCTTCAGATTTTGTCTCCATCTCTCTGCCCCTCTCCTGCTCATGTGCGCGCTTTCTCTCTCTCTCTCTCTCTCAAATATAAAGAAAAAATACAAAATCAAGTCTGACTGAGCACAGCTGAGAAACTTGTCCAGGGTGGCCCGGCAGGAAGAAGGAAGCTGGGCTTTCTGACTCCAAGCACGACCTCTGCACTGCCTCTCACCTGCCCCTCATGACCTTCACAGTTGCTTTGCAGCAGTCAGGGGCAGGTTCAAGGCCAAGTCAGTAGGGATGGAGCGCGGGCTCCATCTGGAGAGGTCTTCTTCTGACAGGAAGGGTCTGCCTGCTCCAGCCATCCACCCCCCTATGGGGTCCAGACAGTGCTGTTGTGCTGCTCTCAGCCTATGAATGACCAGTGTTGTGGCTGGACCAGCCCTTGCGGTTCTTACTACATTTGCAAGACACCCTTCAGCAACAACCAGCAGGAGACTGAAAAAATAAAGGTTTATTAAGAGACTCTCTTAACGATAGAGAACAAACTGAGGGTTGATGGAGGGAGGTGGGTGGGGGATGGGCTGAGGAGGGCACTTGCTGGGAGTAGCACTGGGGTTGTATGGAAGTGATGAATCACAGAATTCTACTCCTGAAACCAATATCGTGCTGTAGGTTGACTAACTAGAATTTAAATAAAAATCCAAAAAGAAGAAATAGAAAGGTTTATTGGTTACAAGACCTAGAAACTACGTAGCACCCCTGGGGCCCCACAGTGAGGTCATGGGGAGAAAGCACATGTGGGCTGGGCGTTCTGCTTTTTTGGAGGTTCACAGTGGAAACCTAGGTTTCACAGGCTCACTCTTAATTGGTGAATTTAAAGCATGAAGGGGAAGGGGCGCCTGGGTGACTCAGTCCATTAAGCATCCGACTCGATTTCAGCTCAGGCCGTGATCCCAGAGTCATGGGGTGGAAAGATTCTCTCTCTCTCTCTCTTCCTCTGCCCCTCACCTGCTTGTGCATGCCTAGGTGTGTGAGCTCTCTCTCTCTCTCTCTCTCTTTCTCTCTCTCTCTCTCAAACAAACAATGAGAGGGGAATTTAATGTACAGGAAGAGAGAGAAAACAAGTGGCCCAAATGGTCAGCTGTCTAAATCAACCAAGATCTCCAGAACAAAGGAGCCTCAGTGGGGGAAGGCAGCCCGGCTGTCATCTAGTCTTGTGACTGGCAGCCTGTCTGTTCAAGATCTTGCTGAAGGACGCCTCTTTGTGACAGCTACATCGGCAATCACAGCTTAAGTCAGGGACTTGCATTACGAAAAGGAAAACAAAAACAAAAACAAACGGTAGGGATTGAACAACATGCAGGTGGCCCTGGACTGGCTGCCCAGGGACTCCCCGAAGGTTTTGCTCACCTGGAGGAACACGGCTGCTCCCCACTCCCCAAACCCTAGGCACACACTGTGTTTAAGAGAATCTGCTTCTCTTGAGGCATATACCTTTCTGGAAGAGACAAGCCCTTCTGTCCTGGGAGTGTCTGACCTCAGGCACCTTAAGGAAGCTGAGAAGAGAGGTTGCCGTCTAGGAAGATGGTAGCATTTCAGATTCGTCTGTCAGCACTTGCTTCCCTGCGAAGGGGATTGAAATGAAACCCGGGTACCCTGCAGCCCAGGAACCAGAGGGTTCCCATCAGACCCGGCAGCCCCCAGAGGCTGGAGGATGTAAAGCAAGGCCCTCCAGAATCACTTTTCCCTGTGGCCAAGGAAGGGCTAACTTCAGCCTGTGGGCAGAATGGATGGAGACCCCGAGCCAAGAGGGCACAGCCCATCATAGTCCAGAGGTGCGTCTGAGATGGGCAGGCGTGGGCCTCCCGACCCTCACCCATAACGATGATACCAAGTATGCAGGCAGCGGCTTTGCCAAGAGCCCGGGTGGGTGCGCCGGGCACTGTGGCATTCCCGTGACAAAGAACGGAAACCCACTCAGACCTGCAGAGATAGAAGGGGACTCCATGAAGGGACACTAGGGAAGAAATACAGCAAAGGGCCGGCCAGGCTTTGCGTGCAGCAGCGGCTGCCTCACGGCTTCCTCCTTACCCGCGGTCCCTGCTTCCCGAGGACTCCACAGGTCTCCCCCTGCCCGGCTCTAGCCTCACGCCACCTGCTGACCTTGCGGTTGCTGAGCGTTTCCTCCTATCACCAAGTGTCTGCAATGTCACTTCTTTTGGCATTCCACTCACTTTTTACGCCATGAGTAGAATGTAATAAAAATCCAAATCACAGCCAAGCCCTGGTGCTCAGGCAGCAGTGATGTGGCTGAGATGGAGATACTTAATGGCAGGGTCAGCCGCACATGGTGGCCCAGAGTGGGTGCTATTGCTCATGAGCTGACGTAAGAAAGTCCGGGTTTGGCCTCGGGAAGGCTGGCGTTGTGGGGCCACAAGGCTAACCGGGAGCAGTCTGGGATTAAACTGCATGCAGGTGATTCTTAGCGCAACAGGAACCTAGAGAAAGTAATGGCAATGGGGTCAGATGTGTCGTGGTTCTTAGGCACGCTTGCAGTCTATGTATGCTTATATTTTTTAAGTGTATTTATTTATTTTGAGAGCTAGAGAGAGAGAGAGAGAGAGCACAAGTTGGGGAGGAGCAGAGAGAGAGTAGGGGAGAGAGAGAATTCCAAGTAGGCTCTGCGCTGCCAACGCAGAGCCCCATGCAGGACTCGAACTCACGAACCACAAGATAGTGACCTGAGCTGAAATCCGATGCTTAGCAGACTGAGCCCCCGCCAGGAACCCCCATGCTTCATATTTTCTAAATATATTTAGAGAATGTGCATGTTCTATACCTTTCCCAAGTTTGCATGTGATTCTCTTTTTCCTTCACATTATACAATGAGAAAGTTCCTAGTTATTAAAAATTCATCGAAAAGTCACATGTGAATGACCACCCAACAGCCCGTCTTGGGGATGCCACAAAAATAGTTATTTGCTAAACTCGGAGGACTTGCGGGCTGTTTCCATGACATCTGGGCTGCTTTGCTGCGTTGACTCTTCCCCTCTGCCCACCACAAGCCGGGGGCTCCCCAAGTGTGGAACCTTCATCATCAAAGCCCAGAGCCCAGGAGCCGGGCTGGCCCAGCCCCTCTGACGATCGTAGGAGGGGGCAGCTGGTAAGCGCTAAGATGCTGCAGGGCTGGCAAAACACCTGCCTCGGTCCAGGGCAGCGCAGAGCCCACAAAGATGTGCGTGCTCAGGGGACCTCTGGCGGCCGAGCCAAGGCTTGGCAGGGTGCCAGTGGGCACGGGCGCCCCCAGCTTTGCCAACCACTAGCCTTGCATGACAGTGTTCCGGTTCTCCTCTGGCCTTGGCATTCTGCAGGCTACAGAGAAGGTTACCTACTTCCCTTTTTTAAAAAAAAATTTTCAGCATAAAGACCTGCACTGCCGCTATAGTCGCCTAACAGGCCTCAGACCCTAGGACGCAGCTCCTCGGGTCCCAGCGCCCCCCACCCCTCACAGTGGCCTTGGCTTTGAGGCCTCTGCCCTGCCAGCGCGACACCACCAGGCCTACCTTAGGGGCAGGGGAGCGGTCCTTCGTCACCCAGGCCCCGGGCCCATCGTTCTAAACCCCAGCATCTCTTCCTGCCTGCGTGGTGGAAAATGTGTCCTTTTTTATTTTTTTCCCTCCTGTGCACGATGGACCCACCTTGCTACGCTGAGGCAGGCGGTCCAGCTGGTGGGCCCTCTGCTTCTGGAGCTCCTTGGCCCTCTGTTTGCTTCTTTCCTCCCATTTTCTGTCTCTTCCTTTCTTTTTTTTTTTTTTTTTTTATTTTTTAATGTTTATTTATTTTTGTGAGAGAGAGAGACAGAGCATGAGCGGGGGATGGGGAGAGAGGGAGGGAGACACAGAATCCGAAACAGGCTCCAGGCTCTGAGCTGTCAGCGCAGAGCCCAACGCGGGGCTTGAACTCACAAACCATGAGATCATGACCTGAGCCAAAGTCGGACGCTTTACCGACTGAGCCACCCAGACATCCCTCGTCTCTTCCTTTCTTGCCTATAGCCGTGCTGCCATGGTTCGGGCCATCCCCACGTCGCCATCCAAATGAACCTTGTCCGTGCCCCGCTCCTCAGAACCCCCTGCCTGTCCACTCTGGCGAAGCTAACGCACTCACGTGAGCCAGGGGCTGAGCTCCTGCTCTGTGCCCAGAAAGCCTTCGCTTCTGGAAATACTTGAAAGAAGCGCTGTTGCTGCCTTGTGGAAGTTCACAGTCTGGAGGGGGGTGGGCAGGAGCCAGACAAAACCTCAGAATTCCAGTCCCAATGGTGGTCACTTGGGTCAGGGTGGCTACCAGAGTTGGGGGAGCACAGAGGAGTATGTGTGAGGTCTGAACGCGTCAGGAAGGCTCCGCCAGACAGGTAACATCTGACCTGAGTCGTGACAGATAGTAAGAGTTTGCCAGCGAGAGAGAGTAGGAAAAGAATTCCAAGCAGAGGGAACAGCATCAGCCAAGACCTTAAGGTGGGGCAGCCCATGATGCATTCGGGAAGCATCGAGTGGGCTAAATCCTCAGTAGGTGAAGCTGGAAAAGATGTATAGTGCCAGATGCCACAGGTCTCAGTTGAATGCCAGGACAAAGGGTTGGCAGTGAAGGGCACCTGGGTGGCTCCATCCCTCAATGTCTGACTCTTGATTTCTGCTCAGGTCATGATCTCACAGTTAGTGGGATGGAGCCCCACATTGGGCTCTGCACTGACAGCATGGAGCCTGCTTGGGATTCTCTCTCTCTCTCTCTCTCTCTCTCTCTCTCTCTCTCAAAATAAACAGTAAAGGGTCGGCAGTGATTCTGAACAAAGGGCCACCAAGCCCAGCACGGCGTCCCAAGGAGGAAAATGGATGGGGCTGTGGGCAGGCTATGGCCATGATCTAAGTGAGCAATGATGAGAATGTCCAGATGTAGGTGGCAGTCTGTTCACCATCTACCCTACAACTTCCATCTTCACCCAAAGGAAGGTCTTTAGAGAACTCAGTGGTGAGCATCAAGGACCTCAGCTCACATGTGGGGCGGCTGCCCATTCACCCTCGGGTCAGACTGGCTTCTCTTTGCTGGGAATACTTCCAAAGGAGACAATTTTGCACTGGTCCTGTGTGATCAGGGCTCGGTGCTTCCGATACTCACCTCTCAGGGCCAGAACACCTGTGCTTGGTGTGAAGCCGCCCGGGGGACTGGATCGGTCATGGCGAGGTCAGTAGCTGCCCAAGAGGGCAAAGTTCAGGGCCCAGATGATCGTGAAGAACAGCCCGCCCTGGATGTGAGAGAGCCCAGAGCCTCCCTCCAGCCCGGGCACCCCGTGTCCTCAGGTGGTGGCTGTGATGGACCCAGAGCTTTGCAAGTTAGGAATGGTCACATGAAAGTTTGTCACCCTTGTTACTATGGAGATAGCTGGCCGCAACACTTAGGGTGCCCAACACAGGATCAATGCCCAGATGGGGCTGAACAGGGAGCCCCGCTCTCCTTCCCAACGCACACGCTCACTTTCAGTCAGTGTCCCAGCAGCACCATTGTCCTGGATGACACCCTGCTCACCTTGATTGGGGCTGCCACGGCCCCTGGCCAGCAAGGTGGCCAGGTCTCAGGGCAGGCACACAAATGGCTGCTGTCAGCCACCATCTGTGACAGCCTCTCTTTCTCCCTCAAGAGCCTATTGTGTTCTTACCACATTGCCAGTTCTGGGGCGCACACCACCCTCTCACTCTGGCCCGGGGACAGCAACTCAGATGGGAAGTGTTGCAAGTTCCTATGAAGGAAGGCACGCAACACGGGGGCTGCGCACACAGGCGTTAAAACTAGCCCGACGTGGTTCAAATCCCAGTTCCTCTGCTCACCAACCTGGGACCCTGGGCAGTTGTTGAATCTCTCTGGGTCCCTCATCTTCGTGCAGTATGGGGACAGTATTCGGACGTGCACCGGAGGCCTGTGGTCAGGCGTCGGTACGATGATCCATGTAAAGTACGTGGCCCACACAGCCAGGACCCAGGATCTGTTGGTCCTCTTACTCTTCCTGATGTTAGTTTTAGTACATTTCTTGCTGAGGAATCCGTCCCGGAAGTAAGGAGCTCTGGATGGGAGGCTGGAGGCCTGGCCCCATCGTACACAAGGGACTGTGCACTATCAGTCTCTCAAATTAACAAGCTGAAAAAAAAAATTTTTTTTTAACCAGGGGGCTGGGTGGCTCAGTCGGTTGAGCGTCCAACTTTGGTTCAGGTCATGATCGCACAGTGCGTGAGTTCGAGCCCCGCATCGGGCCCTGTGCTGATGGCTCAAATTCTGTGTCTCCCTCTCTCTCTGCTCCTCCCCTGCTCATGCTCTGTCTCTCTCCCTCTCAAAAATAAGTAAACATTTAAACAATGTTTTTAAAACTAAAGTGAATTTAGCAGCCCTGATGCTCTCCGGGAGGAGCCGCCTGAGTGAGTCTAGCATGGCCTGTAGACCATCTGGAATTGCTCTCAGAACATTGTGCCCCTGTGCCCTTTCTTGGAGCATCCTGAGCTTCTCTCAGACTCTGCACTGGGCTTGGTACCCAGAGGTCAAGAACTCCTGGGCTAGCCAACCCCCTGTGCCCTTTCAGCTGCCATGTCCCATGCCTGTTACCCAGAACAAGCCTGGCATGGACCGACCGCGTCTGGATAGGGATGGGCCTGTGTGCGTGGTCATGGCCGTGGGCTGGCCGTGAGGAGTGGGTCAGCAGAGGGGCCTGTGCTGGAAGCCAGCCAACAGGGGGGGACCCCCTGCTTTCTGACCCCCACTTCACGACACACACACACACACACACACGGACACACAGGGCATGAGCCGTTTTCTTATTTTAGCACGGAGATCGACACAAGCATTCTGCAGGGCTGGTACCCCATTTGGACCGTCAGGTCTGAGCTCACGGCCACAGTGCATTCTCTGTTCTTCCTGCACATGACAAACAACCGCAGTGACTGGGATAGGCCCAGAGCACCTTCCCTGTGGGGGCCTCCCTTCTAACCATGACCAGACAGGGGGCACCTGGGGGGCTCAGTCGGTGAAGCATCTGACTTCAGCTCAGGTCGTGGTCTCACGGTTCATGGGTTCGAGCCCCGCGTCGGGCTCTGTGCTGACAGCTTGAATTCTGTGTCTCCTCTCTCTCTCTGCCCCTCCCCCACTCATGCTCTGTCTCTCTCTCTCTCTCTTGAAAATAAATAAACATTAAAAAAAAATTTAAGATGACCAGACAGAGGAAAGGTCAAGTCACCTGCCCCAGGGCACCCAGCTGTTCAGCTCCAGACTCCTTGCCTCCTGTCCCCCGACAGATGCCTGTGCCCCAAGCCATTGGTGACCTCCATTGGGGGAAATGGGGGTGTCTCTCTCACTCCAAGGGGCAGAACTGGGACCTGTCACCACTGTGTCCCAGCCCCACCCCAGCAGTGCCTGGGAGGATCAAGCCGGGCTTCCCCTCTCGAGGCAGGAAGTGGTGGGAGAGGTTTAAAGCAGCCCAGGAGGGGAAACAGCTCTTAGGGCAGTGAAGCAAACACTGTGACCGGCCCTGCCCCCACCCCGCCCACGGACGCCACCCGGTAGGTAGGGGGGACTGACTGTCCTCTCCCTCTCTGGTTTCCACAGGCTTCTGGGACTCCTCACTGAACCCCCGGCGAGGAGGTGGGAGCCCAGCGGAGCCCCCAAGAGACCCAGCCCCCGGAGCACCGCCAGCCTCCAGCCTCAAGTCCAGCACCCATTACCAAAACTGCTCCTGTGAAATCGAGCTGTCCGTAGGAAATGACCGCCTGTGGTTCGTGAATCCCATTTTCATCGAGGACTGCGGTGGCAGTGCCCTGCCTGCCGACCAGCCACCCCCTGAAAGCTGCCCCTCACGTCCCCTGCCTCCCCCTTCCAAGTGGGCCCCTCGCCGCCCAGCACCCCCTCCCCCAGGACCCCCTCTCCATCCCTCCTGCCCCCTCCGGTCTCCTCCAGCCCCCGTTCCTGCTCTGGCCTGTCCTTTGCCCAGATCCCTCCCGGTGGCTGCTCCCCCTCCTCCTCCCCCGCCTCCAGACCCCCTTCCTCCCGCACCCCCAGAGTCCACCCCCCACCCCGCACCCCATGCCCCAGGACCCCCAGACCATCCAAGCCAGCCACCCATGACAGCCTGTGAGAGGCTTTCACGCCCCCCCACGGGCCTGGGCCCCCTCAGGGAGGAAGAGATGAAGCCAGGGGCAGCCCCTAGCCCCTTGCAGCAGCCCCCTGCCCCTCCAACCCCCGTGAAGAAGAACCTCCCGGCGGCTCCTCCCAGACGCCGCATCTCTGAAAAGGTCTCCCTGGAGGACCAGAGTGCAGGGAAGACGGACAGGGGGATGGCGGCAGAGGGGGACCAGCTGGGTGTTTCCAGGACCCCCACACTCAGCCTGCCTCCCCAGGGGACTTCAGACAGTCCTGGGGACGGGCCTCCGAGGACCGCAGAGCAAGGTCAGGAAGCAGCAGCCAAAGCCAGTGATCCGGGCAGCATGCCAGAGCCGCCGAGGAAGAGCCGACAGCCCCCAGTCCCGCCCCCCAGGAGGAAACGGATCTCCCGGCAGCTGGCCTCCGGGCTCAGGAGCCCCTCGGAGAGCACGGAGCCTTCCCCAAAGGGGGAGGCCCCTGACAGACCCACGCCCGGTCCACTCAGAGAAGGCCAAAGCCCCGTCCCCCAAGCCCGGACTCAGAGCCCGCTCGCCCCGTCTGGTGCCCGACCCCAGAGCACTCCGGAGTTCAAGGGCTCCCTGGCCTCCCTCTCGGACAGCTTGGGAGTGCCCGCCTCGGCCACTGACCAGGACTCCTACTCGACCAGCAGCACGGAGGAGGAGCTGGAGCAGTTCTGCGGCTCCGGGGGGAAGAAGAAGCCCTCGGTGATCCTGGGCAAGGCGCGCCACCGCCTCAGCTTCGCGAGCTTCACCAACGTCTTCCACGCCTTCCTGTCCAACAACCGCAAGCTGTACAAGAAGGTGGTGGAGCTGGCCCAGGACAAGGCCTCATACTTCGGGAACCTGGTGCAGGACTATAAAGTGTACAGCCTGGAGATGATGGCGCGCCAGACCTCCAGCACCGAGATGCTGCAGGAGATCCGCACCATGATGACCCAGCTCAAGAGCTACCTGCTGCAGAGCACCGAGCTCAGGGCCCTAGTGGACCCCAGCCTGCACTCCGAGGAGGAGCTAGGTCAGTCCCGGGCGGGGGTGGGGGGCGGGAACGGGCAGGAAGGCTAATTCCAGATAATCCATCCTTTCCGTGAACACACCCCTCTGCCTTTTGCTTCCAAGTTCTGCCCTTGGGCCAGTTAGATGGTGGGAGAATGCAGCAGCCACATGCTACGCTGGTGGGACCTCCCTGCCCCCTGGCCCCCCGCCCACCCGCTACTGATTTTCTTTCTTAGGGAGACAGTTACAAGGGCAGTTAGAAGCAAAAGAAGTATTAACGTGCATGGCTGCTGAGAGCCAGAGAAGCCTCTGCAGATCTGGTGGCTCTCGGAGGCGCCGGCACCCCAGAGGGCATGGGCCACAGCCCTCTCTCATTTTGGAGATGGGGATGGAGTTGGAGAAAGGACGCGGCCGAGCTCCCGCAGGAGCCAGAGGCCTTGGGGGAAGCTAACCGCATGTCCCTGCCTTCGGGTCGCTGCATCTCTGGCCGCGGAGGCTCCGGGGCTGTGGGGTCATGATGCGGCCCAGAAGGATGGGGTGCACCAGGGTGGCCGCGCGCCCTCCTGTTGCACAGGCTGGAGAAGCAGAGGGGAAGAAGGAGGTAGGGTGAGGCTGCCGAATGGCTAGAACCATCACGAACCCCAGACGGACGCGCCAGACCCAGGCCTGCGTGGAAGGAAAGCGTTATCTGGATCTTTCCTGAGACCCACCCATGAGAGCGTGGGTCCCTCTCTTCCCCCCAGGGATAGGGTAGCTCAGGTGTGTTCTTAGACAGACAGGACCTGTGAGACCCCTTACTAGGCAAGAGCCGAGACCCTCCCCAGGGGATGGGGTAGCACCGAAAAGTCTTCTCAAGAACGTTCCCCTACTGTCAACCAAAGCAGACACCCATCGCTACGATGTCAAGTAGACATGAGTTCAGATCCTTGCCCAGCCCCCACCTAGCTGGGACCCACACCACCAGGGCCTGTGCTGGTCCATCTGCAGAGCGGGGGGTCATGGCATGTAGGCCGCAGAGTTGCTGTGAGAGCAAAGCTGACTAAATCCCAGTCCACTGGCTGATCAGGACGCCTCTTGCATATGATGACATTTGAACAGTGAAGTAGGAGGTCACATCGGTAGCTGCGGAGTGACTTCTCCAGGCAAAGGAAATGGCAGGTGCTAAGGCCCTGAGGCAGGAGCAAGCCAGGCAGGTTGGCAGAAAAGCCAGGAGGCCAGGGTGGCTGGAGCAGCATAAGCGCTCGGGACCTGGCAAGGTGACGAGTGAGAACAGATCACAGGGGGGAAAGCCACGGGGAAGACTTTGGCTCCTACCGTGCACGAGATGGGAGCCATTGGAGTTCTGAGCACGGGAATGTCGTGATCACACATACCATAACAGGATTATGTGGTTGCTGTGCTAAGAATGGATGAAAAGGGGCCAGGGCAAGAGGCTACTCACATAACTCGAGCAAAAGATGACAATAGCCCCGGTCCAGGTGGGAGTCAGTGGAGGTGGTAAGAAGTCACATTCTGGATTTACTGTATTCTTGAGACTAGAGTCAAGTGGATTTGAGAATTCAAAGAGAGACATCAAGAATAATTCTGCCAGGGACACCTGGGTGGCTCAGTCGGTTAAGCGTCCAACTTCAGCTCAGGTCATGATCTCACAGTTCAAGCCCTGCATCAGGCCCTGTGCTGACAGCTTGGAACCTGGAACCTGCTCCAGATTCTGTGTCCCACCCACCCTCCTCTCTTCCCCTCTTCCACTCACATTCTTTCTCTCTTAAAAATAAATAAACATTTAAATAGACACCCAGGCCTTCCACGTACAGCTGCACAGGTTGTATACTGCACAACTCCCATGTAAATAGTGCCCTTTGAAGTTGTGCATTGGTTGACAGCCCTGTGAGGGTTTAATCAGTACCGGGCCCTATGAAAAGCATTCAGGTATAAAGTTTCAGTCCCAGACTCCATGCCCGTGTCTTTGCGGTGTGGCTTTCTGTTGAAGGTACTACACTGCCTCGTGTCTCAGAACTGCAGGGCATAACTGCTGGGGCAATGACTGTGTCCTTCCAGGGACAAGGAGATGGGGACACCGCACTGTTGGGCACAACAGCCGGGTGGCAGGATCCCGGCAGCTGGGTTCCTCACCCCCCCCCCCGCTCTTGCCCCCCACCCCTCCACAGAAGCGATTGTGGAGTCAGCCCTGTACAAGTGTGTCTTAAAGCCGTTGAAAGAAGCCATCAACTCGTGCCTGCGTGAGATCCACAGCAAGGACGGCTCGCTGCAGCAGCTCAAGGAGAACCAGCTGGTGGTCCTGGCCACCACCACCACCGACCTGGGCGTGACCACCAGCGTGCCGGAGGCGCCCGTCATGGAGAAGATCCTGCAGAAGCTGGCCAGCATGCACAAGGCCTACTCGCCGGAGAAGAAGATCTCCATCCTGCTCAAGACCTGTAAGCTCATCTATGACTCCATGGCCCTCGGCAACCCAGGTAGGTGGGCAGGGGGAGGAGCCTGTGGGAACAGCGCTGTTGTGCAGGTCTGGGACCCCCTCCTCGTCGAGGACTCCGGAGCCCTTAGCAGATGCCAGGGGAAACCTTTCCAGGGGTTCAGAGCCCTGCCGAGGCAGCACTAGGCATGGCGGAATTCCTGGGCACCCCTCCCACGTTCCCTGGGGATCAGGAGGGGGGCCGGGATTAGCCGCCACGACAGAGGAAGGCACGCAGGCCAGCCACACTGCGTGTGTGTTGATTAGAAGGTGCCATATTCGTGTCTTCCGGCTGCCGTAACAGAGGGCCACAAGCTAGGTGGCTGAAACAGCAGATGTGGATGGTCTCACAGTTCTGGAGGCTGGAAGTTCAAGATCAAGGGGTGGGCAGAGTCCTATTGCCTCTGAAAGCTCTAGAGAAGAGTGTGTTCCAGCCCTCTCTTCTGGGAGCTTCTGGGAGTTCTCAGCTTGTAGCAGTACACTCCAGTCTTCACGCGACGTTCTCCGTGTGTCTCTGTGCGCGCGCACGCCAGCTTCCCCATTTTGCAGGGGCGTCAGCCACGTTGGATTGGGGGACCTCCCTACTCCGGCATGACCTCATCTTAACTGATGATGTCTGCAACGGCCCTATTTCCAAATAAGGTCACACTCCTAGATACCCAGCAACATACGAATGTTGAAGGGGCTCAGTTCAACCCACAATAGCCATCATTCATTTTGGCTCATGAGGAGGTTTGGCAGTTACGCTGATCTGGCCAGGCGTGCCTGAGCCTGCCTGGGCCGCCTCACGGGTCTGTGGTCAGAGGGGGGTGTTTGGAGGCCGGCTGGGCTGGGGGCGCCTGGCTCCAATGTCGGGTGGCTGTTGCCTGATCTGGAATGTAGGTTACTGGGCCGCGTGCTTCTCTCTCTCCAGCAGCTGAATGAGGGCCTGTGCCCATGACTGTAGTTGGGGTGCAAGAATTGGGGTCCACTCCTCGTAGTGGAGACAGGCTGGTGAAGTGGAGGTTTTCTGGTCGTGGGGCGGATGCCAGACTTTGAGACCCCGGGTCCCGTGCAGTCTGGACCCCAGAGAGCAGTCCGGAGTGCGAACTCCACAACCTCGTAAACTCCGTAAAACTCCCCACGGAAGTGAGATGCGCGCGTCGGAGCTCCGCTTGCTCGGTCCGGAGGGGGTGGGCGCCTGGGAGAGTGCGCGGGGTGTGCCTCCTGGCCGCAGCACAGAGCTGAAGGTTAAGACCCTGTGGTCGCGTGGCAAGCGGCTGGCCAGGCTCTTCTCAATCCTTCCCAAGGCGAGGCAACCCCAGATCTGCAGCAGCTGGGGAGGGGAGCTCGGGGGTGTCCTGCAGTGTAGACAGGGGGCAATGGCACAACTGGATGGAGCCAGAGAGGAGACAGAGCCCTGCAGGGGCCTTGGCTGTGAGCAGCCTCGGAGCGAGAACAGATACCTGGCCTGGGACCTCCGAGGGATGTGGACGGGAAAGATCCAAGTTTCCTTCCCAGCTATGTGACTGTATCCTAGCTACGTAGGTGCTTGGAGCCTTAATTTCCCCGCTCTGTTAAATGGGCACAGCCACACCCACTTTACGGGGCTCTTTGTGAGTTGTGATTAAGTCAGCAAAGGAGCCTCCAGCCCAGTGCCTGGCACTTAATCAGGACAGTTACCCTCCTGTCTGAACTCCTCATTTGGAGAATCATTTCTCCCCGGAGCTGTGCCAAGGCTCCGGGTAAAGTCAGAGCTAAGGGCTCTGCAGACCCTGAGACGTTATGGGGGAGACAGTCTGGGGCGTACAGAAGACAGTTCCGTTCTCAGTAAGTCCTAGTTTACTCAGAAGCCTTGGGTTTCCTGCACTGCAATTCTTTGAAACACACTATCTCAGCAGTGACTTGAAACACCAGGATTTTTGTTGATGGTAAATTTACTTACTAGAAACTTACCAGAGACCAGGCAGGGGGGGAAGGAATAGCAAATTCTGAGGGAGAAGGAATGGATAAAAAGGCAGTCGCTGGGAGAGGACATGCCCAGACGAGGCACATGAAAGAACAGAGATGAACGAGGGTGCTCTTAGCTTCCCCATCCTCACAGGAGGGAGGCTGGACTCTCTCTGCTGACTCAGAAACCAGCCCCGGGCAGGGAAACTCTGTGCCCAGAAATCCAGGCCGGGGCCAGGTCTCCGTGGGAAGATTCCCCACTGAGAACACATGGGTTTCTCATCAAAGAACAGTGCATTCCCCTCCCACTGCTGGGGGAGCACTGGACTGTGAGCCCACGGGCTTCTGATCTCACCTTGGCCATTAGCAGGCAGGGGCTGCCCCCCTCCGAGCCCCGGCTTCTTCATCTGCCAAAAAAAGCAAGGGCTTGGGACTCATTCATAGACCTGGGTTTGAACTGTAGCTTCCGTGTGTGGCCTTGGACACGACGCTCGTGGGGCCTCTGCGTGTGCACAAAGCGAGGATGATAAGACCTGCTAGTCAGGTGCCATGCAGGAGAGGGGAGAATACCTAGGAAACATCTGGACGTTTTCCATCCAGGAGGCACTAATCCCCTAGGTACTAATCTCCCAGAACCTTGGTTTTCTCACTCATAAAATGGGTCTGGGAATGCATCACAGGGCTGTTTCGAGGATCAGACACAACCAAATACATGTGTTGAGTGTCTAACATGTTAGGATGTGGGAATGGCGGCCTCCCCACCACCCAGTGGTTTCCATACTGGGTTCCGGGAGGTGCCCCAGGGGCCACCAAAGGGACACAGCACAGCCTGGGCCACAAGCTTGCTTGTCCCTGTTTTCCACGTGGAATGTTGTTTGAAATAACCAGTTCTGCTGCTGAATATTTTAGCCTTTAAAGCTTCCATTTGGAAATAAGTTCAGACTTCACTACATTAAAGTAACATCCAGAGGCGCCTGGGTGACTCAGTCGGTTAGGTGTCTACCTTCGGCTCAGGTCATGATCTCACGGTTCGTGGGTTCAAGCTTCCCGTCGGGCTTTGTGCTGACACCTCAGAGTCTGGAGCCTGTCTTCAGATTCTGTGTCTCCCTTTCTCTCTGACCCATCCCTGCTCGCACTCTGACATTCTCTCTTTCTCTCTCTCTCAAAAATAGGTAAACATTAGAAAAACATTTTAGGGGCACCTGGGTGGCTCAGTCGGTTAAGTGTCCAACTTCGGCTCAGCTCATGATCTCACGGTTCGTGGGTTCAAGCCCCGCATCGGGCTCTGTGCTGACAGCTCAGAGTCTGGAGCCTGTCTTCAGATTCTGTGTCTCCCTCTCTCTCTGACCCACCCCTGCTCACACTGACTCTATCTTTCTCTCAAAAATAAATAAAACATTAAAAAAAATTTCTTTTAGAAAAAGAAAAAAATTTTAAATAGGAACATCCGCATACCCTTTATAGATTGTTAACATCTTGTTTCATTTGCTCAATCGCTTGCATACTCTCTCTCTGCACACAGAACGTGTTTCTGGAATCATCTGAGGGTATGTTACTTACATCTTGGCCCTTTACCCCTAGGTACTTTTCTTTTTTCTTTTTTAAGTTTTTTTTTTTTTACTGTTTTATTTATTTCTGAGAGAGAGACAGAGACAGCGTGAGCAGTGGAGGGTCAGAGAGAGAGGGAGACACAGAATCCGAAGCAGGCTCCAGGCTCTGAGCTGTCAGCACAGAGCCTGACGTGGGGCTCGAACTCACAAACCATGAGATCATGACCTGAGCCGAAGTTGGACCCTTAACCGACTGAGTCATCCAGGAGCCCTTTTTCTAAGAACAGGGACATTCTCTTGCATAACGGCAGTAAAGTTGTCCACTTTGTAAATTCACGTTGATACAATATTTTTACCTAGGCCACCATCTGTATCCCAGGTTGTCACTGGAGCCACTAAGGTCCTTGCTGGCCTGTCCTCCTCCCATTCAGGATCCGGTCAAGGGTCGGGGATCACAATTAGCTGTCATGTGTCTTTTACCCCCGGAACATTTTCACAGCCTTTCTTTGTTTTCTTATGGCGTCAATATTTTGCAGGAATACAGGTTTCCCTCCCCACCCCCCACCATTGGTTCTTTTTGATGAAAGTTCCTCATTTTGTGTTTATCAGATGTTTCCTCATGATTAGATTGAAGTTATGCACTTTCGGCCAGACCTCGACTGACTCTTAAATTCTCTTCCCACTTTGACATGAGGCCATCTCAGGACCCGGCCCCCTACCCCAGACAGTCAGTTCACACCTCCCTTCTGCCAGGTGCTACTCGGAAGTGTGGCCCGCGGACCAGCAGCCCTGCATGGGAGCTATGGGCAACCCCATGGAAAGGCACACTCCGGCTTGGGTCCCGCCTGCTTCTACCACTGACCCACTCAAAGCCGAAAACAGCCCTTCTCTCCCAACCGCTCCCCCACCCGCCCCCTCACCTCCAGGGAAGACGCCCCACCTGTCTGCCCCTGAGCCATTGCGTGACACTGGCAGTACCAGCCCATGGGGTCCCTGTGGCCTGGCTGCTGGCAAAACCCACTGGAGCACAAAGCGAGGGGCTGAACTTAGAGTCGCCTGCGTTAACTGGCCAGGCCGTCTTTTCCAGAAGGGGATTGTTCTTTGTGCCCAGGGCATAAAAGGACCAAGATTTGAAGCCAGCATTTCCTCACCCCCAAGCCTGTGCTTTGATGGCTATAGCCGGCTGCCAGCCTAGGGACAGATCCCAAGGTTCCTGAATCCCTGGCCCGTGTCTCCTCCACAGGAGCAAGTTCAGGGGCCTGTCAGGCAGAGCGGGTGTCCGCAGAGACACATGGCTGTGGGTAAGCTTGGCCCTCCGTCCTGCAGCCAGGGGCAGACTGGGTTGCCCCTGGACTTGGGGAGAGCAGCTAGAACTTCTAGAATCGTTTCTCCTGCTGCTTTCACAGACAAGCTCTTCCCACCTTCTCAAAGTCTAAGAACATTCTCGCTGTCTGAGAACAGGGTTGGCCCTGCCATTGGGGAGAAATAGATTCAAGTCCAAGAGCCCCGCCCCTCAATGCAAGAG